AAATTTTTCACGCGCGTTTATTGGATTCTTCCGGAAAATCTACGGGAAGGAAGGACACGATCCTATCGCGGATTTTTTTTTTCCCCGTTGCCACCAAGGGGGAGAGAAATCCGGGAGAAAGGAGCGTTCTCTCTCTCGTCGGCGTCGCGTGCTCGATGACGCTACCGGCACGGCGCGGATCGATGCGACGATTACTCCTCGCGTACCGGTCAAACGGACCTGTTTCCCCTACCCTCCTTCCAGCCCCTCTCTTGGTCCCCCCTCGGTTTTAGCCCCCGGACGGACGAAGACCCACCCTAGCTCCGACAACGGCGAGCCGTACGATTGTACGTACCGCGCCAGCGCCATCCTGACATGAGACAATCCGGGCCCGGCGGGTGTCGACAGCAAGGTATCCAGATCTGCAAGCGGCGACTTGTCGTTGACACTATATCCCACTACTGGACACATGCGCGCGAACAATTCTTCGTCCTTGAACGAAGCGCGAGCTCGTCATAACTTCCGGCTGAGTCGCGAAGAGAGTGCCCTTCCTCTCGCTCTCTCTCTCTTTCTCTTTCTCTCGCGCGCGCGCTCTCTCTCTATCTCTCGCTCTTTTTCGCTTTCCCTCTCTCTCTAATTCTCGCTCACCCGGCGCCGACTCAATCGACTACGAAGCACGGCGGTCTCTCGCGTAACACGATCGACAACGAATAATTACCCGCTTATTGCTTGAAAATTGCTCCGGAGTCCTTCCCCTCCGCGGTATCCGGTCACTGTCACCACCGCATTTTTACTGACGTCCATCCGCCAGAACAACGGCCGGCGAAGAGAACGACAACGACGAGAGATTATACTCTCGGAGATGTGAGCGCGCGATGATGCACGGACCGACGACGCTCGTGGAATCAATCCGGAGCGGAGAAGAGAGTTCGTTCTTTCTGTCTCTCTCTCTCCGTCTCTCTGGCTCAGCCAATCACCAACTTGCGCTTCGATCCCTCGTTCTCGTTTATCTCGTCGTTTCTCCTCGCCCCGTCCGTCGGATACCGTGCGCGCGTGCAACTGCGTGCGTATCGAGCGCCTCCTCTCTTCCTCTCTCGTGTCTCGACTGTCGAGTCGCTCTCGAAGTACTTTCCGCGGACCCGCGACTTTGACTCCGATCTACGCCGTTGGCTCGACTGAGAGCAACTGAGAGGAACTACTGAACGGCCCGCTGGTCCCTACTCCGGAACGCGCCGTCTCGGCCACGCTCGGCTGTCTCCGCGACCTCGTGTCGTGCCGAAGAATGACGATCGTCGACGACTCCCTCCCGTTCATCGCGAGCACCCAAGGCTCCACCTCCCTATCCTCTCTCGCCCTCTCTCTCTCTCTCTCTCTCTCCGTCAACCCTGCAGGAAATTCTGCCCCGCGAGCGTGTGCGCGGTGCCGCTTGCCGCACCGAAATTGTATTAAACGCCGTTTCCTGGACTTCAAATCACGGAGCTCGTCCCGCAGTTTTCGGGGATCGACCCTCTCACGTCTGTTTCTCGTGAAAGATTCAGCAAATTTTAATATTTAGGGAAAGTCGTTCGCTGACGAGAACGAGAGAGGAGGGTATAAACTCTCCTTTGTCTCAGAGGCCAAATGAGCGAGATCATCGTGAAGAAAAGAAGACGTCTCCGATAACGCTATAAACAAATGACAATACGAACGAGCCTTGAAACGCAACCTCCGTGCAATTTGCAACAAAAGCGTACTCGGTCGAGGATTAAGGGGAAAATAAAAGCTAAATCGTGTTTTTCAGAGGAACTATACCATAGGGTTTCCAAAAGGGATGCAAAAAAAAAAAGGGAGGTTTCCTTGGAACTATTCATGTAGCATTAGCGTGTGGCAATCCTCGAATGGAAACATTTTTCGTTCGAAAGATTGAACGCTTTGCTCCACGATGCGAAAAATCGACTTGGATAACGACGGTATTTCGTTTTTCTGATTATCGAAAATAATTACTTGTAACTACGATGAAAGTCGCTACAAATGAAATTTGCTACACACAGGATTTTCTCTTAGAATTTATCCTGAATGCATAATAGTTGCACAACATGGTATTTCCAAGAAACTTATGTTTTCTCTGATTTTTACTATAATATCTACCACAATAAAATATAAAAATGTTTAGTTAAATTTTACTAAAATATAACTAAATTTTTCAATTATTTTTAAATATATCAAATAATTTATGATTCTTTACTGTTTTAAATAAAATGTATGCCAAAAAGTAGTAACAGATATATTAAAAATCTTGTAAATTTTACAATAAAGTACCGAGACGAAAGTTATTACATTAGTAGAAATTGATATTAATCCACACTGTATTAAAATTTTGTAAAAAAAAATTTCTAAGAATTCCCAGATTTTCTAGATATTTTTATTTCAAGTTTCAGGTAAGATTAGATAACTATTTAAATGCAACTTCAGAATAAATTACAGTGCAAGTAACGTAAACAAATTACATATTGTAAATTAGCGAAAAATAAGAATTCCCCAAGCTATCAATTTGTATAGGTAATTAAAGCTGTGAAATTCACAGAAAAGATTCACTACAGTTACGATATCAGTGAACTACTCTTTTTTGCTGAGTATTGTCTTGTGATGTCACCTTGATATTTTTTTTTTTAATAAAAATTCGCTAGATACGCAAGAATGTACGTAAACACGTCAGGATGTTTGTACCACACTTATTGCTAATCAATTGTCAATATTTTGCATTGTCGCAAGAAAAAATGATCAAAGAACAATGCTTTCGGAGAGACAAATTAAATACAATTCACAGAATTTCTTTAAGTAATTTATAAAATTCCATGAAAATCCCTGATAGGTAATCAAATTGTTCCAAGTTTATAACCATAGCTATTCATCATCAAACATAATAAAAGAATGACTCCAAAAACACATCGTTTAGTCTTTGTTTCCGTTCTTTTTCTACGAACAATTCAAAACTGACATCTTTTTAGATACACCGTTGTTGTAATAATGATCGAAACGTCCTCTCGAAACGCGGGGGACTGGTGTTACGGAACACATGAGAATACATACACGTGCGATAAACATCGCGCGGTAACTTTCGGCAACACCGGAAACCGAGAGAGCACCGCCCGTCTCTGTTCGTCCAGTTACGCGAAAAAGGGGTCACGAAAATGTTTTACGAGCCCGTTTAAGGTGCCTTCCTCTCGGAGGGGTCGATGTCAATGGGACCGTGACGTCGTGCCGGAATCACGCACGACGGTCGTGACATTGTGAGAACGATGGTGATACCAGAAGAGAAAACTGGAATACATTTCGGACAAAACGCGTTCGACGGTTTACCGCACCTCGGTGGAACATCCGGTGTGTGTACAGCGAAACAGTTATGCCAATACGAGAGAAAATATGATCCCCGGAAATTAATCGCCATTTTCTTTTTCTCTCTCTTCCTCTTCCTGTCTATTTCCCCGAATTTTAGATTCTAAAAAAATATCGATAAAGTTGAAAATCAAAAGGATAATTTGAAAATAGCAAAGACAAGCAATGTATCTTTTTAACTACAAAACTGAAAGTGTTGGATTCTCAATAAACGTTCGTATACAATAAAGAATATAAGTTACATAAGCAAGACTTCATTAAAAAGATAATGAAATTTATCAGAATAAAAATATAAAGTGAGAGATAGGAAGAGAAAAAGTATTAAACACGAAGCAGATATAACGAGCTATTTAAAAAGAAAATATAATGATTAAAAAATTACTTTTAAATAATAAAATTATTTTTACTAAAAAAAACAATCTTTTATACATATATTTTCCAATAAAAAATATCACACACATATGGCTTAATAAGAAAAAATATTCGGTTGGATTAATTGGAATTCTGGTTGAAAATAAGCGGATCAGAATTTTCTGGATAAATTTGTTAAAAATCTAGTTAACAATCAATATTCTGATTGATATAATTCGTCTATTTTCAATATTAGACATTTTTCAATATTACAGTTCATAATAAATTAAGAAACACCGAGAGAAATACTTGTGGTATATCCATTCATTTTATTGATATACGATTAACAAAAATTAAACAGAGTAACAAAAATTGTATTGTTCTAATCAAAGTTTAATTTTAGACCAACGAAATTTTGAAGACAACACAATTTTTAAATGAAAAAGTCAGAAAATTTCGTATAGTCAAAGGTTATATCAAACGGTTTCTATCAATGAACGCGTGGGCGATGTTGTACGTTTTCGAATTTGAGTTGGAGAAATTGGTATTATAATAAGCGGTGACCTCGCTCGGGGCGAGAGACTTCCCTTGACCCCCTTGAAAAACGACCCTGAGGCTCGTCCGCCCCACGAGCCGCACGAGAGTCGCGTTTTATATACCCTCTAATGGCTCGCTACCATTTCTATTTCTTTTCTTCGCGTGCGTTACGTTTTCCCGCTGTTTGCTGTTATTATTACTAAAGACTTTCCGTCAGCCCCTGCGTTAATGTACGGGTTCTCGATATATTACAGGTTTCCCGATGTATACGTATATAGATCGTTTACTGGAACTCCCCGCCCATGCTTTTCTCAGCCCTCTCAGGTTTCGCCCCTCGTTCGATCTTATTTATTATCCTCCTTAAAGAAACTTGGAATTAATAAGGTCCCTCGAGCATGCGTGCATTTTGAAAACCAAGTTCACAGTCGCTTTAACTCGTAAATTCATATTTCACCGAATGAGAGATATTCCCGAGGTGTAATTGGACGACGACGTTTACGTGTATCTCCGTCCGCAAAGTTCGGAGCAATTTCTGTCGTGGATAAGTAAAATTGAGAACGTGCTATGTAATACAGGTATAGTTACGACTGCCTCATTGCCGGCTGCCTTATTGAGCGCGCGAAACTTCTCTGACTGTATGGAGAACGTGAATGTAAGTCGGCCGCAATCGCACGTGGATAATCCAGTGACTAAGGGCCGCGTTCGTAGCGCGTTCATTTAACGCTTAAATGCGAGAAAGCGGGAGAGAGGGATTTTCATCCTGCGATTACTTCAAATGCGATCTTCATATTCGTGAACGAATAAAACCGAGTTACAATTTCAGCTGCACGTCGTGGTGTAAAATTTTCGTTACAGATATCTCGAAGAAATGAACAACAAATAGAAATGCACAGAAGCTGAATAAAATTTAATAAAAATTTAACTAAAGGGAATAAAAAAATGTAAGCTTAAGATTTATAAATTAATTAGAAAAAAAATACATGCACACAAACACACATAAGTGTAGGTACATTGCATCAAGGAAGATATTTAATAATTCAATTAGCAAATAACTAATCCCATTGTTTAGTAAACTATTCCGCGAGTCGAGGGATTTAACTCGCCCGAGGAATTTTTCCGTGTTGCTACACAAGGGACACACACTTGATACGGAAAAGAGTAACTTTCTCGTGGTGGGCGAGTTGAATTAATTTGCACGATTACGTCAGGGAGTGCCCGCTGTTGTTACTTTTCGCTGCCAACGCAATTCAGCAAATTTTTTGCAACGTAGCAATAACACAGCTGCATCGAGCTATCGAGAGAAAGAAAAAAAAAACGTAACAATTGATACGAGTGAAATCGTACTATCGAAGAGCACTAAATAAAAAAAAAAATAATAAAAAAAACTCAGAAAAGTTAAAACAGTGACGCGCAGTGGAGATAGAAATGAAAATGAAAACGGCGAGCAGCGGACGGAGATAGATATAATGCGGATGAGCGAAAATAAAATTTGTATAGAAAGGACAGATGAGCGCAAGGCGGATTATATGACTCGCAAGTTTCGGGGCGTTGTTCCAGTTCGGGTGCACTAATATCGTGTATAGAAAGCGTATACCGGGAGGCGAGCGCGAAAGCGCGATAGAGCTCCCCGCGGAGGGTGGAGGCGAGACCATGGCGGAGAGCGCGGGCCTCGGGAAGGCGGGGAACAACGACGACGACGACGGCGGCGACGATGGCGATCGGGGGGCGGGAAGAAGAGACGAGGGAGAAAAGAGAAGAGCGGCTGCTCGTAATGCCGCGAGAGGTGATTGCGTTAGAACGAGCGAGGCGGAGAGAGAGAGAGAGAGATGGAGAACGAGAACGAAAGAGAAAGAGAGAAAGAGAGGCAGGCGCAGCCAGCAGCAGCAGCAGCAGCAGCAGCGGCGGCGGCGGCGGCAGCGGA